AGCATTTACCTATCAAGACTATTTTCTAATATAAACTTTACTATTTCAAATGATATTCTTACCCCACGTTGGGCGCCAGTTTCAAATGTTGCTAAAATATTATCCCATTGTTTTCAATGTTTCTAAAGAGGGACAGTATGGGCGATTTATTTCAACACCATAAAAAATCTCGTCACCTCTTCTCGCGTGACCCACGGTTGGCGCCAGACAAACAGATTAGTTCAATAAGTTGTTTACAATAAAAATTTCGAGGCTTTAGAGGTACAAAATTCTACAAAAAATATAAAATGTTGACAACTGTTGTCATTTGTGACCCACGTTGGGCGCCATATTTTAACATTTTCTATTATACCAGAAAATTTTTTTGTTACTTATAACAGTATTGTAGTCAAAATAACTTAAGAAGACAAATATGTCCAATACAATGAATTTTAATTTTCCCCACGTTGGGCGCCACATTTCAATATTTTATTTTATAGCAGATAATTTTCTTGTTATTTATAGCAATAATTTGAATTTTTTCCCATGTTGGGCGCCAGTTTTGAACTATAATTAAAGTTCTGTATTGATTTTCTAATTTCGATAAACAAAAAAAAACTCAGTAAATCCATCTGAAATTCTCCGACACGAAGAGTAAACATTTCACATATCAGATTTTGATGATAATTTTTATCTTTACTCAGATTTTCAGGTATTATCCATGGAGAACTTTTTTGTTCTTTTCCTACAAAATGTCCATACAGATTTTTCTTTATTTATTGTTTAAGCAAATGTTATGCTTCATTGAGTTTATTTATGATACATGAATACATTTTGTCGAATATGTATATTTTTTGTAGGTGGATTTTTTTTTTATTGGCAACTGACAAGGGAGCAACACCTCTGCTAATGTGAACTACAAACATAGTCATATGCCGATAAACAGAGACAAGTGAGATATGTATGTCAATCAATATTATCAAAAAGTGACACATGAAGGTAATTATGTGAAACAAGCTAGGCGGCTGGCTAGTTATTTTTCAATTACTCCAGATGCAAAATTGAAATACAAATATGTATACATATATGTACGTAAACATACATACATATATTCATAATAAAATCTAACAATTATCACTCGACAGCAATAATAATCAATTTATTTACTTGTTTGAAGAAGCAACAATTTTTTTTCCAATATTCTCCATACAAAACAAAAAGTATATTCAATACCGAAATTAAATTAATAAAATCGAATGAGCAAAAATTCACCAGCAATACAAAAACAATTTCAACTGAAATATATGATCTCATTTCATTGCACGGCATCGACAGACACACACACAAATGTAAGAAAGTAAAAAAAAAAGTATATTTTGCTTTTTTTATTTATTTTCCTCTATTGAATTACTAATAATACAAGTATTTAATTAACTAATAAAAAACAATATATATAGAACAAAAACTCGTTTCTTTTTAGATTTGCTATTAAATTGGAATGAATAACAATAACAATGTGAAAATAAAGATCAAGTGTCGATTGAGATCATTTCAAATACTAATGCAATCCAACAAATTTCAATAGACACCTGAAGATGTATTTGGGGGAATGATTTATTTGCTTTTGTAGTGAGAATTTGACGAGGCATCGAGTGGGAGAGACAGAGAGAGAGAGAGAGAGAAAATAGATCATTCAAATAAAGTATCAATATTTTGCCCTTTCTGAGCAATGTCCACATTGGAAGTTTACAATATTCTAATAAGAGTTTGTATATATATCGAAATTAAAGAAAATTCAAAAATTAAGCTCACAAAATATTCTTTTTAAAATTAATGAACGATAAAATGTCTCAAAATGACCAAATTTCATCATTCCCCATAATTGTGTTATTTCCTACGTTGGGCGCCACTAGAATTAGAGCGTATAATTTCCAAAAAGGCAAAGTATGCTAATAATTTTGTAACCTTTTCAATATATAACACGTCTCCCAATATTTTTTTGGATTTCTTAGTTCCAGTGACATTTTTATTTGTGCCCCACATTGGGCGCCAAATAATTAAATCTTTTTGCTGTCAGGAAATATAAAAATTATGAACCATTGCTTATTGCTTGAAATTAATTTGGTTCTCCATATAAATTAAGCCCAAGAAATTTCTGAGTCAGTGCCAAATGTTGTGCGCCAATCGAACCTTGAGTTTGAAATTGTTACTGTGCTTAAGAGATTCAGTGATTGATTAAACATCCTAAACAAAATTTTTTTAACAATGGAATCAATGCTGGGGGCAAAATACCCCACACAAAATATACATTTTAGACCCCAAATATTCATAAAATTCTATGTCGATTTAGCGAAATTCTATGTCGATTTAGCGATGTCCGGACGAAATGAACTAGGTTGATAAAATTTTCCTCAAATGTATATTGTGTCTGCAAGACTTTTGTTATTGAAAATAAGCCATGTAAGTCCACGTTTTGGTATAGCCCCCATATAACGGTTCCACCCGATATTCGGTACTTTGATGATTTTAGTGACATTATTCACCGTTTTTTTTTTTTCAAATTTTGGTATTTGAAATTCGTAATGAATACTACAGCCTATGACTAAATTGTACCTCCCTGTATTCGTCATTCTGATGATTTTAGCTACATTATCCGATTTTTTTTTCAAGTTTCGCATTTGAATATTGTAATAGCTTATGACAAAAGTTGCCTATGCAGATCCACGTCGTCGTATAGACCCTAATATAACGGCTACTTTCGATATTTTTAAGACTTTAACAGAATTTTTAAGGCATTGTATTCTTTTTTGAAAATTGCCAATGATTGGGCGCCATTCGTCCAATTGTGGATTCATATTAAATTCTATGAAGAGACCAAGAGAAGAATTGGAGGCCATGGTTAACTAGTTTTTAAAATATTTATGGATTTTCATCGTACACAGCATTAAAGCGTCCAATATGCGTTAACGTTGGGCGCCAATCTTTTAATGCAACGAATTTATTGTTGTGCGCCAATCCATCAAATATTGAAATAAAACTATTTGGAGTAAACAGACCAAGAAGTTACCTGCCTACGAAGGCTAATGATTTGACTTGACACATTAAACATGTACCCAGAAGAGGAAAAAGACGTTGAAAAATACAAACGAAAAAAATATTGTGTCCCACGTTGGGCGCCAAAATGTGCTTGTGTTTAAAATTATTATTGTTTTTTTATCGTATTCCATATGAAAACGTGTGACTTCTGAATTAATATTATATAATTTTCCTTATACTTGGGGCCTACGTTGGACGCCAATCTAGAAAATTTTGTTTACATTTATCTATTTATCATTTGATTTAAATTATTTTTTATTTTCAATTTCTACAGTAAGCTAGCCCGTAGACGGTTCCAAAAACTTCTATACATGTCTACTCTAATTATTTTTTGTCAATTTTTTTTAAATAACGTATGAAGACGTCTATTGGCTGTATCAGAATTCTATCACTACTGCTATTGGATTCTACGTTGGGTGGCTATCTATCCGATATGGTGAATTTACAGTATTCATCATGTTCATAAAACTGTATTAACAAATTACGGTTTCTGTATTACAAGTCTATCATTTTTTTTTTTAGTAATTGGTACCTACGTTGGGCGCCAATCTACTCAATATATTGCATTTAGTTCATATTTTAAAATGCTAAAGAAAAAGCCTGGTTATTTTATTACAATTCCACGATTGTTACTCTAACTGATATTCACGTTGGGCGCCAATCTGCTCAATATGGTGAATTTAAAACATCTATCAATTTATTTTTCGTTTTGAAAATCCGCTCTAACAAATACGTCCCCTGCATTATAATTCTTTGATTACTTTTGCCATTGGAACCTACGTTTGGCGCCATTTTCTTGATTTACCTTAAATTATTAACAATTTTTGTCCAGGTCTCAGTTCCACGATTGTTTCTCTAATTGAAATTCACATTGGGTGCCAATCTACTCAATATGTTGAATTTAGTTTATATTTTGAAATGCCAATTCCACGATTGTTGCTGTAACTAATTTTCACGTTGGGCGCCAATCTGCTCAATATGGTGAATTTAAAACATCTTTCAATTTATTTTTCGTTTTGAAAATCCGCTCTAACAAAATACGTCGCCTGCATTATAATTCTTTGATTACTTTTGCCATTGGAACCTACGTTGGGCGCCATTTTCTTGATTTAACTTAAATGTTTAATAATTTTTGTCCATATTTAGAATATTTCTTTGATCCCAACCTTTTTCCTTGCCAAAACCTTCTAACTGGACGAAAAAAAATCACTCTCCCCGTTTTCTAATAGTGCAACTCACACATACATATAAATAAATACACACACACATATGTAAATATGCCACTCTCACGTGGACACAACTAAGTTCGATCATCAACATCTATTATAGATAGGGCACCTTAATTAAAACGCTAGATAAACCACTTAAAAAAATTCGAAAAAGTGGGTATGCAGCAAGACCAAGACGTTAAGTAGAAGGAGGGAAAGAATGAGGAAATACAAACTAAATACAAGTATGTAAATATTCAAGACTCAAAAGAAGAAGAGTATAAAAAAGTAAAGAAAGAAAGTCAGTCTAAAGTTGGAGAGTTTTGTACTAATAACGAAAACAACAACAAATAATTATTAAACAAAAGAACCCCAATCCAAATGAAAATAAATGCAACAACAACTGATAATGAACAAAACACACAGAAAAATAAAGAAACAACAAGATATGATGGGAGAAGAGAGCGAGAGAGAAAGAGGTGTTATGTTTAGGATTTTTTTTTTCTTTCAGTTGGGTTTTGTGAGATTTTAGTGGTGTTTGGATTGAAACACGTTTTTTATAACAGATTTTTCGGATTTTTTCTTTTTAGCTACTCAGGTGGATTAGACTAAAGACCCTTAAAAACAAGTAGATAACTTATAAAAATAATGCTTAACAAAACTACAGCTAATATTTTTGAAAATATTCTATTTTTGAAGTAAGGGGGGGAAACTCACTTTTGCTGTTTATCTTGTTCAAACAAATTTTATTTTTATTATTTGGTTGATTAGATTTGACTTTTGGCTTTTTCACTCGTCGTTTGCGTTTTGGTAACGATTTTTTTCAGAAAAAAACACGTTTTTTATGATTTTTTGTTTTGCTTGTAATTTTTTTTTTGTTTAGATTTTGGTTTTATTTGAAATCTGGAAGTTAGAAGAAACGGGTTTGTTTGGTTGAGTAAAGAATTTCAAAAAAAAAATAAAATAAAAATTTAGACACTTGTTTCAATTATTCATTGGGGTTTATATTGTTGTATTATTTTAAATATTTTCTTAACAAATATTTAAAAAAAATAATAAAAAAAAATTAAAATATTCAACACTTTTTATAATTATTCATGGGGTTTTTATTGTTGTTGTTTTTTTTATTTTTTAAATAAATTTTTGATTTTTTTTTTTCTAATTAGAAGTGGCGAACAAAATTTATCTCAATTTTCTTTGGTCACACACACACACACTGGTACACACAGAGTTAAACACACTTTGGGATACACACGTAGTTGTTGTTGTTATAAACCAACGATTTTTTTTTATTTCAATATTTTATTTTTTTTTTCTCAATTTTTATATTTTTTTTATATGTGACGATGACGACGACAACGAGCAGAGAAATTGCTGGTATTGTGGTTGTTGTAGTTGTTGTTGGGCTGGTTGGTGGTGGTGGTGGACGTTGCGATGATGACGGTAATGATAATGACGACGACTCCGTTACAGATTAAAAATTGAACAATTCGAATGCAGCAGCAGAATAAGAAGAAGCAGAAAGAAAAACCCGCGTAGTCACCGCGATTTTAATTTCGATTCGAAATAGCGTTTTATAGCTTTTTTTTCTCCCCAAGTTACGTTACGTAGCATTCCGATGTGACTCCCGTATGTAAAAAATAAACTGACTAACTAATAACAAAAACAACTAGAAGTAGAAGAAACGAATAGGAGTGGAGTGGAGTGGAGAGGGGGAAAACAACACTCCAAAGATTAAAAAATGTGACACAATACACACGTACGTATACCAGCAGTACCAGTGGTGGAGCACTATGGTGGCTGGGAAGAAACAGACAGAGAGAGAGAGAGTGAGAGAGAAAACGACAACCACGACAACGGACGGCGGTAATGACAAAGTTGGCGACTCGACTCGACTCCACTATTACGATTTTTGGTATACAAAACAATATTGAAATAAAATTTAAATTTTTCTTTTATTTATTTTTTTCTCCTTAACAAATTCTCATTCAAATTGCTTTTGTTATTTATTTTTTATTCTTATTGCCCGTCGTGTTCTGGCCACATAAAGATTAGAGCGCGTTAACGAAACGTAATGAAAATAAATCGAAAGAGAACCAGAAAAAAATCGGTTAATGTAAGCACGTTGGTATTGCTGCTGTTGTTGTGTTGGGTTAATTCTTTTCTTCAAATTCTTGTTTTTGTTTTATTTATTTTTTTTTTGTTTTTCTCTTCTTTTTTCTTTTCTTTGCTTCTAGGTCTATTATTTATTGTTGTTAATTTAATTTATTTGTTGTCGTTGTTGTATATATCTACATTTCTATATATAATGATTTTTTTCTTATTTCTTTCTTTTGCTTCTTTACTTGTGTAGAGTAGGTTGTTGGATGGTTGGTCGTGCGTTCGCAGTGCAGTGTTTTTTTTTTAATATTATTTTATTTTGGATAATTTCTGTGATTGCTCCGTTGTTTTCAATGTGAAACACACAACTGAAATGAGAATTTTTCAAAAGATGATGAACAAGTTGAAACGTAAAATAGTTGGGTCAGAGATAACAGCAACAAAAACACATACATACACTCACTCACAGTGCGCACACACGAACGGGCGAGCGAGCGAGCGAGTGAGAAACGCAAACGCTACAAAGCACATAGAATGCCAGTAGTAGTCGAGTACGAGTACCCACAGCAGGCGAACCCACCATGCAGGCACAGATACTCTCTCTCTCTGTGCAGTGTATGTATTCCACTTAGCATTTGGCTCTTTACCAGGCACAGATAGCAGCAATACCAGCAAAACCCCACAAAACAAGCACAACAATTAAATATGTACGGGTATTTAATTCAAATATCTCTCTGTGTGTGCACGAGTGTGGGTATGTACGCATGTTGGGCCGCCACAAACGACCACCTCGTTTTTATGATATGCTCTCTCTCTCGCTCTCTTTGAAACATTTCTTTTTTTCTTGTATCTTTTTTTTCGTTTAGTTATTGCCTCTGGTTAACCCAAAAGATACAATTGTATCTATAAGATGGTTCTCACTCTCTTGTAGTCAAACTCTCAGCCTCTCTCGCTCTCTGACATTCCATTTAAAAACCATTAAAAAATCCAGGGCAAATCACGTAAATTGGACACTGTGAGAGAGAAGAGCATAATTTTTTCACACACAGTAATGAGAAATTCCAATTGGATTTTCATAACAATCAATTGTAGTCAGTTAAATTAAATGGTTGGAGAGGAAAAACAAAGAGATTGGAGGGAAAACACAATGGAACAGTGTTACCGCATTCACTGTTTGGAAATAAATAAAATGGGTCAATACTGTGAATTGGAATCACTTCATATTACATTCAATTATAAACAATTGCAAATACGACCAGTCCGGCCTTTATATCCTCCAACATAAAGGACGCAGTAGACATAATATCTCCAAGCGAAACTCGTACACTTAGCAAACAATTGTCCTTCATGCAATATATGATTGTTATCAAATTCAATTTTTTTTATTATACCCTCCACCATAATATGGAGGGTATATTAAGTTTTTCATTCCGTTTGTAACACCTCGAAATATACATTTTAGACCCCACAAAGTATATATATTCTTGATCAGCATTCTATAGCATATTGTATTTGGAGGTCCATGCCTTCATATAGCACCCATATAACGGCACTTCCCGATATTCGGTATTTTGATGAATTTAGCGACATTATTTACCGGAGTTAATTGCAAATTTGGCATTTGAAGTTCGTAATGGATACTACAGCCTATGACAGAAAATTGTACATGGAGGAAAACGTCCAATCTAATTTAACTTCAAAGTGGAACTAAGTTTTCTTCCATCTGTGCTTATGTACTATATTTTCTACAAATATGTGCACAATGGTCCGTATCAGTTTTATAATTCATTCTTTTTTCCGAAGTTACATTTATGTTATGTACCACTTCTAAAATAAATCGTCTTTTGTAGTTGTTCTCTCGTACGAATATATATTTATCCTTAAAGTTCGGTTTATGTCCTGTCAATGTGTGATTATTAATCCCATTTATGTCTGGAAAGTCTAGTTTTTTATTTGGTTTTTGTCGTGCAAATATATTATTTATGGCATACATCCGTCCTTTTAAGTTCTACTGAATATAGAGGGTTAGATAAAACAACTTCAACAAAGTCAGACGCCTAATTTTTACCTTTCTTAATTTTATTGAATGAAAGCAAAACATGTCGGAAATAACATCAAATTTTAGAATAACTTCAAATTTGTTCGAATTTGTTGCTCTTCGGTATTTTGGCCCATTCTGCTTGAGGTGATCGACACTTTGGTATTTTTTAGTGCAAACCTTGCTTTCCAAGATACTGCAGACACAATAGTCCAACGAATTGGTATCCGGAGATTTTGGTGGTCATTGTGCGCTGGAAATAAAGCGAGAAACCTTTGGTGCTGAGTCCTGTTGAAATATCCAAGGTTTCCGGACAAAATGTTTGCGTTCCCAAGGCTTTAATACAACCTCCAGAATATTTTCGAGGTAATATTCGACATTTATTATGATCGATTAATACGACCAAAGAGCGACCTTCGGCTGTTATGGCGGCCCACACCATCACCATGGCCGGCGCTTGAGTTCTGGTGGACAACCGAAGGTGCACAATTTCAGCTGTCCTCTTTGGCACGATCATTTTGTTTGTTTACCAACTGCTGGACAAAGAATGTTTTCTCATCGGAGACGGAGAAACCCAAATTTGGCAGTTCACCACTTTCGGCCAAGCGAAGCAACTCTTTAGCTCTTTTGAGTCTATTTTCTTTCTGTTGCGGTGTAAGTTCTTGCATTTTTTTTTTTTTTGGCTTTAGCCCGAGCTCATTTTCAATATTTGCCGAATGGAATATTGCAATATGTTCAGCTCACGAGCCATTTTTCGGCCACTGCGACGCGGGTTTCGATCAAGTCGCTTCTTTATTTTTCGAACCATTTCTGCTGATGTTGCTGTTTTTTTCCGTCAACTTCCTTGACGTCGGGCTTTTCTCCCAGTATCATGGTAACGAGCGATGGTACGAGACACAAAAAATTTATTCACATTTAAATGCTGGAGTGATCTAACGATAGCCACTTATGGTGTTCCAACCAAATATAAAGAAATCACACTATCACGCTTGAATACCATCACGAATAACTTTTTTTCTAGAAAATTCTCACCTAAATGACTTTGTACGCTTGCAAACTATATAATGAGCTGTCACTGGAAAAATTTTAATAGCTGTCGGACGAGTGGCTTTGAAATGACAGCAGTCTGAAGTTGATTGCAGTTCTTTTATCTCACCCACGATATATAGATTATTTAGCTATTATCATTTTGGTAACACTTATTTAAAAGCTCTCGTACGTTTCGTGTTTTGTTTCCCTGTCAAACATCATTTAAAAAAATAATTGAATTTTATTATCAAAATACGTGTTCTGTTAAGAAATTCATGTTGTAGAGAGTTTGCCAATATGGATGGACCTTTTGAGGCACAGTCGCGCACTGCTGTTCTTGATCTGCATAAAATTATATGTCCCCCTATACATCAGTGTAATTTAATATTACGACCAAATCGATCAGAAATTATAAAAAGTTCGGTCCGTCTATACTTCGTTTTCAAGGGTTTCTCTCTCGAAAACTACTCTCAGCCCATGTCTCTTTAGATTTGTGTTCCTCACACCTTGATTTCCCATATAATCTTAATTTTACCATATTTAATACTTTCTCGTGCAGCAATTTTTTCAAAAAAAAAAAACAAACAAACTTTTCTTATCATGAGTGACCCTAGTGCAAAATATTAAGGTATTAATTCTAAATGATCGCTTATCAGCAACGTAAAGAATTCTATTAGCAATATTGAGATTTATACAAAATTTGTAACTTCGAACCATCCACTCTCACCGCTATGTGGCACTTATGCCAAATTTAAGACGCCTACTCCACCAGTTCGCTCCTTTGTGTCCAACTGAAACAGAATTGACTAAATATTTCCACTTAAAAACAACTCTCTAATTTCGTGATGGCAACTCTGCTCTTAAACGAATGAGAATAGCTCAATCGCAACCACCTACAAACAACACATCGCTCTCCGAAACCCACATTTTCATGCAGCAATGTAAACAACCCAGAATTATATAAAAATTAAAGGAAAAATAACAATACACATACGAATTAAGCATGGAGAGGGAGAAAATTACAGTTAGAGAGAAATATGAGAAAACCCAAGAATTATTTCAGAAGAGAGCGAGAGTGTAATTTTTCCAAATGAGACACAGTGAGAGTGTGCACTGAGATTACAAATGAAAATTCTTCCACAGCAACAAAACGGAATGAAAATTCTTATCAGTAAACTGAGAAGAAACAACAAAATACATACCTTCGGACTCAGATGTACGATAGGTATGTATGTACTCGGTGCATGTGTATGAAAATGTAACGACGACGACAAAGGAAATACAAGTTGGACAAACATCACAGCAATTTTAATATACCAACAAACACACACACACGCTCTAGCACACACATTTCTCTTACACACGCTTACAACGTTTCGTTGTCATTGATTTAATGTTTCTTTTCCTTGGATTTTCTTCTTGTTTTTCCTTTTTTGGAGGAAAAATCAAAATAGCTACGGACTTTGCGGTTTTCCCATTTACAAGAAACAAAAACAATGAAAATAAAACTGATAAGAAATTTTAATATTAGTTTAAAGCAAACGTATGTTTGTAAGTAGGAATGTTTGTTTTTTGATAGGTAGTTCGTTTTGGTAAAACTATCCATAATAATAAAAATGCCCTTTTGTTCACCTTCACTGTAGGATGTTGTGATATCACTCACAGGTCCTCTATTAGAGATTCAGTAATGTTTGATTCCTAAACAACAGTGATTGTTGGAGTTGTTGTTGGTTGTTTGTTTTTTTGATTTTTAGTTTAAAACAAGGTCGTCCATCGTATCGTAATTTAGGCCACACATGCTTGAGAAAGGGGTTGATTTACTCGGAGGGTTGAATAGGTTGGTTTGTCATTACATTTTTTCTTATTGTTTTTCATTCAACTTTTAATAGTGGTGACTTAATTATGAACCAAAACCGCCAATTTTTAATGTTTTGGGGAATTGTCGTAAGAGGAAAATTGAAATTTTCCTATTATTAATGTAGGGTATTAAAATTGAAAATAAATTCCAAAGCAGTTTAAATTGATTTTAAATTTGGCATTGAAATACATGCCATGCCAAGGAGGTAATGATAATGAGGGGTTTTCTGGTATAGATCATATGTAAAGGTACCGTTGGCGTAGACAGGATGCCACACAGTCTTGTCATAAAGGACTAAACTCCAAACTTCAGAAGTAGACTTGTAACCAAAAAAAAAAAACTTGGAAGCTGTATGAGCAGATGAACCCATACAAAGTTTATATCAATTAACTACCTTCAACATTACTAATATGTGGAAATTCCTTAAAAATGGAAAGGTAAAAGGACTT